CAGCTGACCGTTGATCTGCTCGGGTTCTCCTGGGCACGTATTGGGAGCTCTGTGCAGGGAACACGTGTGAGATACCTGCTGCGAAGCTGCCTGAAGTGATTTTTTGGTAAGAGTAAATGCAATCTGTCTGCAGAAAAAAACTTTAAGGACTGTTTTGGATATAGACTGGAACAGCCATGAGCTGGAATTAGGTTTTTCAAAGCATTATAGGTGGAGGGAATGTCCTGGATGCTTTAAAAGTCTTCAGATAGGCGTAAAAATGACATATACATTACGCATTATCTCCACAGAACAAACACCATTTGAAATGTGCCCCTTTATAACTACCATTATGATCTGTCTAAAGAGCATTTTGGTTGAAACTTTGGAGGAAAGGAGAAGGAAAAAAAAAAAAAGCCCACTGATCTTACACCTGCTCTTTAGCAGTGGGAAGTAGGTTCTCAATCTGTTAACATGACCATCTGGCCAATCTGCATATCACGGCTATCTGGATTACCGTACGATGGAATGACAATAACGTAGCCAAAACAAAAGTAAAACACATCAAAAACTAACAGGAGCGCAAGCCCTTTTGATTTCAAATTAAATAATAAATGTGGTATCAGAGCAGAGCGAGAAAGTCAGCTAAATAATTAAAAATGAGCCTTCGCTCCGGCATAATTAAGTAAACAATATGGTGTGTGTTTCTGTATGAGCCAGCAATAGTTTCCACCGTCGAACGCTCCACTTTTGCAGAGCAGCGATCAGGAGTTCAAGGCGCTGCGACAGCTCTTTCAGTGACGTACGGTATTGTCAGGACACCTCTGCCACCCCTGCGACACCCGGCCTGGCTGCGGCTATTAACAGGATTAATGCAGCAACAATCAATACCAATTGTACTAAAAGATTACGGTGCAAAGCCTCGGGTACCTCTCGGACCCCCTGAAACCTCCACGGGTACGGGGGCTGCTGCATTAACCCATCTTTGGGTTATTCTCATCGATGCCTCTTTATGGTCGTCCAAGGAGAATATTTTAACTCTGTTGACGGGAACATAAAATGGGTCGAGCTTAAGGTTCAAGGTCATGTGTTATATACCACTGCCCAGCAATTAGCCACAGAGCATATCTAGAAGTTAAGTAAATTTTCAGTCACAAAAATAAGGCTGGGTTCTGGCACTTTCGCTGCCTTCGAATCTAAACGTGAACAGAAAAATGAGCTTACATAAATAAAACCTAGCCCCAGATTTTTTCTTAAATTTGGGATTTTTATATGTCCTTCTGCAAGATTAAAAGATTTTCTCTGCCACAAATACGTCGCGAGTTTAATTCTCGCCCGGAGCGCGTAACGATGGCCGGCCAAAAAAATAAACGGGGCATTACAGCATCGCCTCCTGGCCCACAAACCCTCTTCGGCCACTGGAGAAGTCTCTAAAAACTGTGACCTCTCAGAAAATTTAACTACTTCTCTTGCGATTCTATTCTCCAATCTGACCACATTAGCGGGAGGAACTCCAAAGCAGTAAAAAACTCCAGAAAGTTCTCGGTTGAGTGCCTACTAATGAACAAAGGTTAACTTTATCTAAAAGGTCAAATGCCTGGTGGCTAAGGTTGTGACCTTAACAACTTAAATTGTGACCTTGCCACGTGCCTAGTATATTGTAGATTCTGATACAGATCATCTGGTAAAGGACCGGTCATAAATTAGCTTTACTGTTCGACTCCCACAAAGAAAACGGTTTGCCACAATGGTTTCCAACTTGTCATTTGATACAAGAGCAGAATAAGTGAAAACTAAAAAGCAAACCCAAGTTCAGGGTATGAAAATGCCGCCTGCTTTTAGTTAAGCAGATTAGAAACTGCAAACTGAGAGCAATACTCTAGATTTCAATACATTTTTTGGTCAACCTCTAATTCACAAAGCACTGATCTTCCTTTCCTTTTTTTTTTTTTTTTTTTAATTTTTTTTTTTTTCCTTTTAATGAAAATGACATGTAGTTTGCCTATTTGCATATTTTTGTTTTCTCTTTCTAGCCAGTTCTTAAAGAGAATAATTGATTTCAGTAGCTTTGTAAGAAGCACTATTTAAATCTGTGCACATGTGTTCCCTTACAGATGATAGTGCCTACTGAAGGAAAAGCGTGGATTCAAAGCAATAATTATCCTACATGTTTAGAAGGAAAGGGACATCTTGCTGCCGAAGTCATCTCGAATAAGGACATCTTGGAACAGAATACTCCCCCCAAGAAAAGAAGATGAAAAGTAGGGGGGAAAAAAAACCCACAAGAAAAAGAGAAGCGAGCACTATGGGTGAAAAGGTCACAATGGTTTTGGCACGTATCTTCAAGCACGTTTCGGAGTCTGTGCCTCCTGCCAATACTGGCAACTTCTCAAAACTTTTAAGGAGGTAAAAACATTGTTTAGTGTTTACAAATCTTCTGTACTATAGCAGATGCTTGTCAAATCCGCTATATGTAAGTTGACCAGCCTACCTAATATTTGCGCTGGCGACTTCCTCCGTATAAATACGTGGTCCATACATTTGGGGAGCAAGGTCTGATGAAGTTGGAGACAAAGGACCCTTAATATTTTTTTCTTTTGTAATTTTCCTGTTGCGCACCCGGCACAAGCTGCCATTACTGCGGGTCTGCGGGAACCAATGGCTGTCAACTTGGCCAATGTTCAGGTGTAACAAAGACTGCTGGGATACATCGGAGGGGGGAAAAAAACGGGAAAAAAGGGGGGAAGAAAAAGAGGTAGCTCTACGCAAGGCTTTCGGTACACCTCTGTGAAGCCCTATAGACAGCAACCACGCTGTGCCACCTCCCAAAAAACATCTTGTCCCCATCCCTGCTGAGGTTTAGCAGGAATATGCCAGCACACACTCCTGCATCGAGAGCACAATGCAATGCGTGCAATCGGCAAACAACGGCCAAAAACATAGCGCGGTGCGCTCTGCACGGGTGCGTGGCTGCTCACACAAATCCCCAAATCTAACCCCAAAAACCGCGCGGAGGCTTCGCGCCGAGTTTCCGCGGCAAGCACTGAGACCGAAGGACAATCGGTGTGATCGCTGCCTGTTGATGATGATGGCAGGAATAAATAACGGTTCACTATCAAGGTTACTGTTTGCCACCGGCGTGCTGATAAGATGGTATATCCCTAATCGCAGTATTGAACTTTTATAACGTCTATTGCCTGACTGTTATAACACGGATCTTCAAGGGAGAGATCCCTTGAAGCTCCCCAAAATACTCCCAACCCTTGGGTTTGGTCCTTTTCTCCCCATCCTACATTTCTGTGACCCTACATGCAATCTAAGCCAAGACCGTTGGTTTCTATCAACAATTTGGCCGCTCAATGGAGGGCCTGGGAAATACAATATGGATCAGTATTTACCGCATCACGCTATATATAAATCCCAATAATAAAAACCTGCGTCCTGTAGATCAGTAAATAGACATTTATAGCTTCTATTTGTATATCAAAGCATTTTAAATTTATCGCCCCACTCCAACATGTGGAGGAGGAAACTGAGGCAGACAAAAGGGATGTGAGTCCATGTCCCCGCGGGGTTGGTGATGGAACGGGAGGTGACCTGAAATGCCCCAGCCCCAAGCTCCCTTCAGTTAGCCATTTATCCATAACGCTTCCTTCACGGTGGCCATAATAAAGCGCAGAGTAAATAAATAATTTTCCTCCATATTTGCCTACCTCCCTTTCACTATAAATGTACAGTATGATTTACCACCTCACACTGAAGTGCAAAGTAAATGCTGCAGCTTATCTGTAGGAAATACCATGAGGATACTCAAAAGTTATTTCCGAACAAGGATCGTATCTGTAAAATCCCAGCGGCGACATTGCCTAACACAACAACCATGGCAGGGACTCAGCACAGAAAAACTTTGGGGAAGCCAAAACTTTCTGCAAGACCCTCTGAAAGAAGTTGGCATGGGAAATGCAGGCTCCCTGGGCTGTAATTTGCTTGGTTTTCTTACCGATAAATATTTATACAGAAGTGGTTTCTACTAATATCATTCCTCTTCCCCCTGCTCCTCTGTTTTTCCAGCCTGTCCAGCTCCTCAGCTCACAAGTCAGGATATGCTGGGGGACCACACATCCCATACGTGAAACTCGGGGCATTCCACTTCACACACACACGTTTTTCTACACTACAATCACTCAGGAGAACTACAATAGCAGATTATTCTACCCAGTCAACATACTACACATCCTCTGAGCACGCCGAGTCACGCCGCAGGCAGAACATACTTTGTGTTGGAGTCTGGGATCCCAAGATTTCCATCACACCTTAAAACATCTCAGCCCTTCCTCATAAGCACAATATTGTCAATTCAGGATTTTTTTTTTCAAGATTTGCTTAGCTTTTAGGTGTATAAATTGTGATATTTTGGGGGGGTTTAAATAGCTCCTTTTTGCCCTAGGGTTACCCAGAGGTTTTATTTCATGCCTACTCAGATCTGATGACTAGGTTTGCTATCAAGGGACTGTCTTCTCTTTTCCGTCCAATCCCGCAGGATTTACATTCCCCATCTCATCACTGTGGGTTGAGGATACCTGGTAATCCTGACCCACAGGCCTCAGGCATCTCTAGCCCTCCTGGACAACTTTATGTATAACATATGCAAACTTTATTAAAAAAAAAAAAAAAAAATTAAAATCTATCTGCTTTCCCCAAAAATTAAGATAAAGAAGCCGTGTCTGGCTGCGATCCCTCCTAGGACAACATTTAGGATAACACCTGTGAAGGATGACCGAAATGCTGTTAACCGCGGGAAACAAGAGCCACTTTTATGTGGCTGCACCTTAAAAACCCCATGAAAAAAAAAATAAAATAAAAGTGAGGGGGGGAGTTTTGGCACCCTCCTCGCCACCCCGGGAGAGCAATAACCGGAATCCCCAGCTCCCTCCCTGGCTCATGCAGCCGCCGCAGGGGCACGGCACCCGGCACGGAGATAACCGAAAAAGTTGGAGAAGGTGGTAGAGAAAGGCACTTACCTGCTGCGTGCACAAAGTATGCCAAATATAAATCGAGTTCCTTAACAGAAACTCCTATATGGTGGGGCTGTACGCACAGCCCGGGGTTAGAGCACTGTGGGGACTTTACAAGGCGCTCGCCATCAGTACTTTCGAGCGGAATACCTTTAAATAAAATCACCATAACAAGGTCCAATCTCCAGACCTTATCTGCCTGGCGAAGGCAGTCAATTCTTCTCATCTTGCCCTTCTGGTCTGGATTGGAAAGAACGCAACACGGAGGCTTTTTTCCTGTGACTGTGAGAACAAAATCCTCCCGAAATTCAGGCCTGATATCTTTCCGGAGCTTTGCCAGAAGTCTGGATGCCCATTTTTGCTTTACCTCGGGTTTTTCACTTAGCAGTTCGTCCTTCACGGCTCTCTCTTCCTCTTTTGACATGCGTTTTTCATGTTTTTTGAAGTATTTTCTTTTTCGGGCTTGCAGGTTGAACCACGTGTACGCAAACGCTCGGACGTGAGGCAGAAGTGCTTCAATGAAGGGATGAAATTCATCCTGAAAAAAGTTACAGAGAATGGTTGATGCCACCGAAACCATCAAGAAAGAGCCTTTAAAAACAGGGGTTTTGCAGGATGGTGAGAATTAGGAGGGCGCTGATAAATTTTAAGTGCTGTGGGACCCCTCAGTGATGGACCCTGAACCCACCACTGCTGCATCCCCACTTTCCTTTCGCGCCGATCCGAAACCTCTGCTCCCGCCCCACAAAAACGGGGTCCAACTTTAACCAAGCGCCCTGATGGAGATGGTGGAATGCCGGTGCCCTTTCCCCAGTCCCCCAACCTTTAAAAATTTTTTTTTAAAAAAAAGGGCAGAATGAGTTAAAAGCTAAAAACTCCTTTGCAAGTCCACTTGCGGAGCGCATATCTCCCTTTGCTCTCTCCCTGACCCCACTGCTTGCGGTGTAGCCAGCGTTTGCCCGCCAATTTGGCAAATCCTAAACATTTGGATGCCAATCAATGTTTGTATGGGGAAGTCTAAAGTATAGTAAAACTTTCCCTAAGATATATTTGGAAATAGCAGCCGGCAGAATAGTAAAATGCCACTATAGCTGTATATACAATTACAATGAAGGGTGGTTTTCACTCTGGTTCCTAAACAGTGAAGGGAGCGAGAAGTACCGTGGTTGATTTATCCCGCCAGCGCAATCATAGCTAACACTAAAATCCTAGAAAAAACAAGCCTTGCAATTTATCTTTTTTAAAATATTTTTGTTTATATTTATTAAAAAAAAAAAAACTTGCTATCTTGGCATATTAGGGAAAGTCAAACTCTGAGCTCTCCTGTAAAATTAATAAAAAAATAAAACCCAAAAAAACCAGGAAAAATTGAAAAATGCTGTAACAGAAAACTGTAGCACAACTTGTGCAAATGCACAAAGAATTATTAATTGTGTCAGATTTTCAAATATTTTAAAAGAAATGCCCTACTCGGAAAGTTAGTTTGGCCATCCGGAGACACTGCTTGCTTTGTGTAACGAGGAGTTAAAGATCACCCCTCTCCCTTGGCACAAAAAAAATCGCAATTAAAATTATGCTGACGCTACAAAAAGGCACAAGATCCCTCGATTTTTTTTTTTAATAATTACATATATATAGATTTATATTTTTTTCTCACTAAGTATTACATAAATCAGCTAAAAAGATCCAAACATATTATAATATACTTGGGCCATGCTTCTTGTTTTTTCCCTGAATAAATGAATGACCCAACTCCAGGCTGCACATAAAAACATATCCAGCCTATGGGGCCTGATCCAGCGCTGCCTGCTGGGGACGTCCCTGCTTCCAGTACCTCCTTTTCTCAGGACTGGGCCCTCCAGGAGGGAAAAATAAAGTAATCTGTGCAACGTTTTCCCCAGCATGGGAAAAGCCACCCGCTACTTACCCCTGCGCGAGGAAACATCGGGATTTTTTAGATTAACAAACTAACTTTTTTTTTTTTAATTATCCTATGGAGTACATTTTCTACTCAAATCATTGTGAGTCATGCAAATATGGTTATTAAAACAGACATTTTACTTCCTTTCAACACTTTATTTTAATTTGCATTGTTCTTTTCAGAATTTATGAAAATTTGGGAAATCAATAGTAGAAATATCTATCAGCAAAATCCTGTCATAATTCAACACCTTCAGCTGACTCCCCAAAAGCTTTCATTGCACTTATTCTGAGTGGCCCCAGAATTGTAGATACTTAAATCTATAGGTAGCACCACTGCATTTATTTTTAACACAGATTGTTAAAAACTTTCCTAGCAGCACAATATATTTCATTAGAGCAGAGCGGCAGCAATCAAGGTACTATGAATGATTATTAAAATAAAAGCAGGTAAAATAAAATAAATCACTCCAGTGATTGGCACATTCCTCTTTTTTTTTTCCCTCCTCTATGGGAAAAGATGATAGTTTCAAATTTCAATAAAGTTTAAAAAAAAAAAAAAAAAAAAAATAAAAAAAATTTAAAAAAAAAAAAAAAAAGAAGAAAAGATTGCTGCGAGTTTGCAGTCGGCAGATTCAAAAAGTGAGAGGCACAATCCCAGCACATGGAGCTGCTCTCACCCACCAGAAACAGCTCTCACGGGGCGGGGGGGGAGGCAGGGGGGGAAAAAAGAAGAAAAATATAAAAACTGCAGGTCTCTACAAGCTATTAAAAATAATAAACCCTCCCTCCTGATCCCTCCTGTCCTTCACTTTCCCCACTCAGGGAGAGTCAAGCAAAAAAAGGCCTTTTGTCAAGTGGAAGTTTATCTGTGAAGGTACACAGAGCAAAGAGGCTCGACAGCCCACAGCGAGCCATGGCAGCGCTTCCAGCCTTCCCACTTTCCAAACACGTCTTGGTACATCCTGAAATATTTTAACTTTCCTGCTTTAAGCAGCGCTTTGTCCTGCCTGATCTCATGTGCTCGGGACTTTTTTGGCTCGGCATTGGACAACATCCAAGAGAGAGTTGCTTTAACCTGCGCTAAAGCTGATTTCTACGATGTGAACCTGAAAGGGGAGGTAAAAACAACACCCAAAAAAAAAAACAACCCTAAACCACTTTAAAGGGAGGGGGGGAAAAAACCAAGATGCTTCTTGGTGCAAAGTCAGGGTCTGTGGCTGAAGTAAACGAGAAGCCCTGCTGCTCAGGCACGAGGTGTGCACGTCCCTATTACACCCTAATGTGTCTTTTCAAAATGGTGTATGAGGAGAAAAGGTTAACGACTCATAAACAGACCAACTTTCAAAGTGTCTTGGTAAACACGCTGCTCCGGAAAATCGCACCGCTTCAATCTCGGCGCTGAGGTATTCGCAAAGTCCATGGAAATAAAAGCAGCCAGGACTGATCAAACAGAACTGGGCTGGATGCGAGGACGGAGGTGGGGGGGGGTGGGGAGCAGCTTCTGCACAATACAATTTTTTATTTCAGTGGCGCTACAGCCCCCTCAAAAAACCCAAAAAGTTTTGGAAATGTGTCAGTGCAAGTGTGCTAACAGATGTGCAACTTGTCTGCAGCCTCGCTGCAAAATAGCAGGATTTTAAGGAACTGGTAGAAAAGGCAATGATCTTTCCCTTTCCACAAGTTAGCTTGAAGGGAAACTTTAAAAGTGTTTGATAAAGCTGTTTGCTTTCTCCCCTCAATGTTGGATGGGTTACCTAAAAATAAAAGACACCAGAAAGCTGGCAAAGCAATAATTAAAAGTTGGGTTTTCTTTATTGCACTCTCCGAAGTTTGAGGATACAGCTCTTCCGAGAGCTGCCTGTCTCTAAGCAGCACCTAAAATTTGGGCCGCACAGTTCTGTACTGTTTATCCCAAAATTCTCCTCTGCTCTTCAAAAAGGTGTTAAAAAAAGCAAAACAAAAACCCTATGACAAAAGAACCCCAACGCCAACCCAAAGGCGCCTTCGATAATGTAATCCTGCAAAGGAGGCTTTGAAACAATGTATTTCTGCAGGATATTTTTGAAATTAAGCCAACTACAGCGACCCTTGCTAATATTTTTACAATCCATTTGCTTGTAAATCTATGAGTAGACGTGCATATGTTCCCCAACTATTTCCTAGCTCCTCAGCAGATATGTAAATGGAATGATGTTTGGATTTTTCCTGACAGATGACACAAAATGCTTGTGCCATTTTGGTTCCAGGGCTTGGATAAATATGCTCAGAACCAGGATTTCTGTTTGTTTTCCTTTTCTAACCCACTTTTAAGAGCTTCCCTTTAAATCTGAACCAAAACTTGAC